ACTCTACCTCAGATACACGTGTAAACTGAGGACTGAAGTCAGAAAGTACATGATGTCTGGGGAAGCAGAAGACAGCCGTACCAAGAGTGGTGAACGGTTGATTGGCAGACACATAAGCTCTTGCTGTATCAGTGCCCTATATGCCATATTAACATATGTATGACCGACATTCTGAGGTGCTATGCCACTCAGGGTCACCCTCGAAGTCATGTTTTTCTGTGTTTGGTAAATGAAACATGCATTGATGAGCCTATAGGGACAGCAAATAGAACAAGGGTTCAGGTTAGGCGGTGGGGGTGGGAAGTATGGGGAGGGGAGATACAGGGAGAAAATGTTAAGGAGTCTAGGAAGGACAAGTATGGTTGGAAACTGATTATGGAAGCAGTCACACAATCTGCTTGACATGATTGAATTATATATTACATATGTATTAACCAAGTAATAACAAATTAAGAGAAAAATCAGAAATGGGCTTTGGGGACTCAATAAATCCCAGCTCCAATTTAAGAACAATTCGTTCTTCCATCATGGCCTTGCTGGATACTTGCCCTCAGGAAGGAACCACAGAAGATAAGGGCATTCGAGCAGAATGTGGCAAAGAATTTAGATGGTGCCCAGCTATCAGATAAAGTGGTGTCTGAGGTCTTAAAGGCTTGTCTCCAAATAAGTAGCCATGTAAGAAAGATGGAAGAAGCATAGCATCATCAGTCACCGAAGGATTGGAATCCACATAATCTACATCCTCTTAAGAAAAATCCTTCTGAGAGTTAATATTGATCATTTGGTAAGGGTCTAGAATAGAAGCTCTGTTTAATTAGTCTAAAGCCTAAGGTCAGTTTATGATTATATTTGTTTCATCTTTATATCAGTTTATAGTTTCTATAGCAACTGAGGTACATTTAGGTTAGAAAGAGTTAGTAAAGAAATTTTCAGATAGAAGGAAATTTAGCTTTTATCTAAATGTAGCATTGAAACATAATTCTATTTCCGGGAATGCTGTATTTACTGGCCGGTGTCATTTCCATGTTTCCTGATGACACCAGATACTCATCTTCTACCTACGGCCTTGGAAAAGATTCCTGCTTCGTGTCTTTGTTCAACTTTTTATCTTACCCAAAGTAATTAATCAACCAGAGAAGGAAAGGCACTCCCCTGGGAAAAATGGTAATTACCAGTGGAAGTGTTTTGACCTCAAAATGATACTTACTATGTAAGTTGCTCCTTTCCCTACACTGGATTCGTGAACAGTAGTTATTTTTATTGTTTCTTTGTCAGTCTGACGGGAAAAGTCTGAAATACTACCTTATGTCTGTATTGTTAGTACGGGTGGATTTAGGCTGTCTACTTTAGATCCAGAGAATCCTCAGGTGAGATGTTAGAAAACTACCACCCCTAAAAAAGGATTGCATTAAAGAGATCTTATAAATACCAACACTACATCTTCAGAGATTGAAATAGATTTATCCTTCTTGATTTTATGTTAGATCCATGAAGCTGGAAGACTATGTAATGCATTTTATATTATAGGAACTACCATATGTTGAAGAACTCTCTATTATTCTTCCTGAAGATATTGAATTAAAACCTCTCGGAATGGTTTCAAGTATTATTGACAAATTAGGTATGTAAATATTTCATGAATAATGTTATTGTGTATATAAACCTGCACAATTATATCAAAAATATCTTTGAAATATATACCGTATATTCTCGAATATAAGCGACCCGAATATCAGCCGGGGCACCTAATTTTACCACAAAAACTGCATTAAAAACATGCTGGAAAAACTCGGCTTATACACGAGTACATATGGTAATATTAACCTCACAGGCCTTAAGTTTAAAGGGGGAAACAATTAGATTTTATTTACTCGGGTAATTTATTTGGTTCGGTGTACTGTTTTCTGTTGCTGTTGTAACAGATTACCACAAACATAAGAGCTTAAAATGACACACATTTATTATTTTATACTGTCGCTAGAAGTCTAACAGGGGTCTCACTAGGTGAAAATCAAGATGTCCGAAGACTTATGTTCCTTTCTGGGTCTCCGTGAGAGAATCTGTTGTCTTTTAATTTTCCACCTTCCAAAGGTTGCCTACTTTTATGGTCCGTCTCTTAATACCGAAGCCCATCTTGCAACATCTGTGACTCTTCAGTATTACACACATCTTTTCCTGTTTATAGCCAGGAAAGGTTCTCTGCTTTTAAGGACATAAGTCATTAGCTACTATATACCTTGCTGATCCAGAATAATCTCATATCTAGGGCCTTAACTTTAATTTCATATATCAAGTCCATTTTTGTCTATTCATGTAATAAGCTATTGTAGATTCACATATCCAACAGATTAAGCAGTGGTTGCACTGAAGGAATTATTCTACAAGTGAGAAACTATTCAGTTATCAATTTTTGTTTCTCACCCTTACGGTGTGAGGTAGGGATGTGTTGTTAGGTAAACCTTGAGTTGTTTCTGACTTAGAGTGAACCCATGCACCACAGAAGGAAGTACTGCCTGATCCCGTGCCATCTCACAGTCATTATCCTGCTTGAATTCACTTTTGCAGCCTCTCAACCAGTCCATCTTCTGAAGATTCTTCCTTTTTCACCGACTCTCAGCTTTAGCTACCAAGTATGATGGTCTTCAGAGACTGGTCTGTTCTGATAACATAGTCAAAGTAAACGATAGGAAGTCTTACTGTCTTTACTTCTAAGGAACTTTGTGGCTGTACTTCTCCAAGACTGATTTGTGTATTCTTAACAGCAAGCTGTTGTTGTTTATTCATTATTCTTTACTAGCACCACACTTCAAAGAAATAAATTCTTCTGCAGTCTTGTTTATTCGTTATCCAGCTCTCACATTGATATGGTGAGTTGTAGTCTACTGAATGCTATAGTCTTGATCTTTCTCAATAAATCCTTGAAGTCCCCTTCACTTCCAGCAAGCAACGTTGTGTTAATCTCTATGTAGCTGGTTGGTATTGGGTCTTCCTGCTGTCCTGATACCTCGTTCTTCTTATAGTTCAGCTATGTGAATCTGAAAAAACGGGAAGTCACCAAGCTGAAATGGAATTCATAAAGACCAATATCCTAGGTATTTGTGAGCTGTGGACTGGTATTAACTATTTAATACTGTGCACTAGCATTAATCTTTTGAGTCCAGCTGTCACATAGTTTCCTGTACTTGAAATGACAAATTCATGAATGATCTCGTGTTCATGGTCAAAAAGGACGTTTCAAAAGCTGTCTTCAGGTCCAGTGCCATCTGTGATCAGATAAGAATAAACCTGAGGGAAATACTTTGGAGGCCACATCTGACCTCCTCTGGCTATCCACGGGAGAAGACTCCAACGCCACACCCAGGCTGATGGCCACGAGAAGCCAGAGGTTAGGCATGCCCTCCCGCCCCACCCCCACCCCCCTGTCCTTTTCCTCTTTTCTGGCACTTAGCAACTTTCACACAGCACTCGACTTCTCTGCTGAGTTTGTTAATCCATTCTAGTGGCACATAGAACTCAGACAATGTTTATCGGCGTCTACTAGAAAAATTAATCAGGTTTTCACAGCTAGTATGCGAAAACATCAAGGATACAGTGTTTGCTCCACAGCAGCATTTCTTTTCAGCCTCTCTGCGCTTGGATTCTACCTTATTTTATGGGCTAGCAAGCCTGCCCACTGTCTGTCTCTCCACCTCATGGTCTTTGCTCTCAGACCTGTAGCTCTAGTGCCACCAGCACTCAGCAAGGATCTTGCATGCCCCGCACTGGTGGATGTTCAGAGTCTCTCTGTTACTGCTTTTGAGCTGACTTATACAGAATGACAAGACTGACCAGTCTTTGAGGTAAAGCTCTCGACACGTTCCTTGCCTGGTCTCTTTCAGTCATTTAGAGTTATAGAGAAATGAATAGAAGAATCATATTAAGAAACTCCATTATACCACAGCCTACAAAGAAACCCGAGTAATATAATTATTACTCAAGTTTCTGTACCAGTCACTAGAGCAAATGATGACGTGACTAATGAAGAATTCTGTCAGCTTCTTCAGTTTGAAATGAGCAAACATGCAGTCAAAATGCATTGATAAATTATGGTGACTAGAAGGCTAAAATTGGAAATGAAGATGCAGGATCCGCAATTGGAAAATATGTCGTTGGTGATAGAAACGAAGCTGGAGACTACATGATATAATTTTGGGTGGCCAATTACTTCTTTATCGCAAATACTTCTTTACACTATGTCTAAATTCAGACTGAAGCTGAAGAAAACAAAGAAGTCCATGCAAGCAAAATACCTGCATTTGTGAATTCAACAAAATCCTGCCTGAATTTAGATAGCATCTCAAAACAGATTTGAAACATTGAACATTGTTGACAGAAGACCAGGGAAGTTGTGAGATGACACCAAGCATATCATACGTGAAGAAAGCAAATGGTATTAAGAAGACATGAAAGAAAGAAAATAGAGTGGATGAGTGAAGAGATTATGACACTTGTCCTTGAGTGAATGGAATGAAGTTAAAAGAAAACCCAGCAGAACATTTCAAAGGGGAGCTGGAGAAGTCAAATGTGTGAAAAAACCTGGAGCTAGAAAGCCAAAAAAACTATCCATATTAAGCTGAAATAACTGAAGAAAATATTGAAGGCTTGAGTTCAATATTGATTTTAGTCATATACCAAAAAGACAGTGTACGAACACAGCTACTGTACCAACAACAATTGGTTGAAGTGTAGTCATTTTAAGAGGTTAATGGAAGAAATGCAAGCTAATTTGAACACTATCGAAAGACAAAATTTCAACAAAATTGATTTAATACCAATTGAAATGTTTCAACAAGCTGGGGAACATTATAAACAATCCTCTGTCAAGAAATTTTGAAAACTGCTACCAGGCCAACTAACTGGAAAGAGATCCATATTTATTCCTATTCCAAAGAAAGTGATCCAACACTCTCAGAAAGTATTGAACAATACAAGTAATATCATACCTAGGTAAAATTTTGCCAAAGGTATTGTAGTACATCTACAGGTAGCTGTCAGATACTCAAGCATAATTCAGAAATGGATGAGACAAGAGGAATATCATTAGTGACAGTGGAAAGAATCTGGACTGAAAAGCAGAGAATTCCAGAAAGCTGTTTACCTATGTTACTAGCTATGCACAGACAATTCTGCTTGACATGATTGAACTATGGAATGATGATATGGGTATTAACCAAGTCATAACAAATTAAGAGGCAAAAATTATGTTAAAAATTACATAAAACTGAATCATGGCAAACTATGGATAACTTGGCAAAAGATAGCAATTACATGGGACCTATGTAGACTAAGAGGTGGTTGCATGAACAGAACCAGGGAATATTACATGAGTTAAAATTAGGAAAGATGTGTGTCAGTGTTGTATCCTTTCACTATATTTATTCAATCTGTATGCCAAGCAAATAATCCAATAAGCTGGACTGTTTTTGCGGTAAAGAACAAGGCATCTGAATTGGAGGAGACCTTATTAGAAATCTTCAATATACTGATGACACAACTTTGCTGCTGAATTTGAGGAGGACTTGGAATACTTCCTGATAAAAATCAAAGCCTCGGTACAGTTTACAATTCAATGTCAACATAAATCCTCACAACTGGAACTCTCGACCTGAGACACAGACCATGGTAAACAGAACTTTAAAATCAACACTCGTGGAAGTAACAAGAAATAAAATAACACATTGCATTGGGCAAATTTGCTACACAAGGAATCTTGAAAGTAGTAAAGAACAAAAAGTAAGGAAGTCTTTAGAATTGAGTCCTCTGAATTATGGGTTAATGAAGAGTACTGAATATGCCGTGGACTGCTAAAAGATCTCTCCGAAGAAGACTGCTCCATGAAAGCTAGACTGGTGGAGACTTTGTCTCATGTACTTTCTGTGCGTTATCAGGAGAGAAGTCTTTGGAGAAGAACCTCATGCTTGATAAAGTAGAAGGACGGTGACAGAAGAAGGAACTCAAAGAGATGAATTGAGGAAGTGGCTGCAACAAGGGGGTCGGGCATAGGAACAAGTGTGAGCATGCTGCGGGCCTAGGCAGTGTTAGTACATTAGAAATCATTCCCCTGGGGCATAAAGGTAATTCTATTGATAGTGTCATTAATTTAGCAGTGGTATAGAATTTAAAACACTATTGACAAAAGGAAATTGTGCAAGTATGGGCTGGCTACAAACTGCATTGCATGAATTGGCCCTTCCACCCGTAAAGAGGTCTTGTGTAGCAGATTTACCCAAATACAGTGTGTCATTTGATAGCTATTTTGACTGCTTCTTCCATTAATGTTGATTATAGATTCAGGGAAGACACGGTCCTTGAAAACATTGGTCTTTTCTCCATTTGCTATGATGTTCCCTATTGGTCTATTTGTAAGGATTGTTTCCCTTTACATTGAGCCGCAAGACAAATTGAAGGCTGCTGTCGTTGATCTTCATCAGCAAGTGCTTCAAGTCTTCACGTTGAGGAAGTCAAAGGTTGTTAATAAGCCTTCCCCAAGTCCTGATACTGCATTCTTTTTCATATAGTCCAGCTTTGATTATTTGCCCACCGCATGTAGATTGAATAAGTATGGTGAGAGGATACAACCTTGATGCACACCTTTCATGATTTAAGCCATGTAGTATTCCCTTATTCTGTTCACACAGCTGCCTCTTGATCCATGTACAAATCTTCATGAGCACAATGAAGTGTTCTGGAATTCCCATTCTCAAGGGTTTGTTAAGATCCACACAGTCAAATGTCTTTGCAAAAACAACTGGAGCAAAATTTTTTATTACCTATAAGAAAAATGTTCCAACTTGGTGACCTTATCCTCACTGTCCTGGAATTGATACACACTCACAGAGAGCCTTTCTCCCAGGTGGTATTGTAAATGAAGCATTTCGTTGCTAATTAAAAGGTGAGCTGTTCAAACCCAGTAGCTCCACACGGGAAAGGTCTGCCCCTGTAAAGATTTAGTTTTGGAAACCGAAAAGGGCAGACCCCATAGAGTAAAACTGTCCCGTAGGATTTCCTAGGCTGCATTCCCTACATAGCACCTTTTCATCTCTGGAGCCTCTAGATCAGCGGTTGTCAGCCTCTGGGTCATGACCTCTTTGGGGGGGGTCAAACGACCCTTTCACAGGGGTTGCCTGATTCATAAGAGTAGCAAAATCACAGTTATGAAGTAGCAATGAAAATAATTTTATGGTTGGGGGTAGGTCACCACAGCATGAACAGTATTAAAGGGTCGTGGCATTAGGAAGATTGAGAGCCACTGCTCTAGATGGATTTGAACCATTGATATTTTCAGTTAGCAACTAATAAGCACTTTTAACAGTTGTGCTATTAGCACTATTCTCCATCTAGTCTGTCCATAGGGGTTAGAGTTTATAGTACATATTTTGGAGGACACAATTCAGCTCAAGATCCATGAGTAGTCCATGAGTAGCTCTAACCAAAAATGTGTTGGTCCATGATCTGTTGCTTATGTATGAGTACATGCTGTTGAAATTATTTGGGTACAGATAACATTCTTAAGGCTGAAATTTAATAAGCTGAGCTATTACATTTTATTTACCAAGTAGGCCTGCTTAGGTAGCAGAGTAATTTTTCTTGTTACCATTTTTCTAAAAATATCATTTTGGGTGCTCTATTTTTTTAATCCATCCCTTGAAATAGATTGGCAATCATAATATACAGAGGTTTTACTAGCCATGTGGGACAATGATTTTGCTTTTTTGAGTAGGGAAGTTCAGTGTAATTGTAGAAATTGCTCTGAATGCTCTTGTTCTTACAACATTTATTCAGAGGAAGATACATTTTTAATGCCTTTATTTTAGCACCCTGTCTTTCCGCGTGCCCCCCCCTCGTCCCCCCACCATATATCTGTAAGTAATCAGTTAATCAATGCTTTGTGAAAAAGATTGCCTAGACCTAAAGGCTGATTTCTATTAAAATAGAAGCTTGTAACTTTATGTAGTTAAATATTTTTTTAAGGAATTGCTTGAGTGAAGGGAGACGTCGGACAGGGCAAGATATGACAAAATAACAATGTATAAATTATCAAGGGCTCATGAGGGAGGGGAAATGTTTTGAGAATGATGAGGGCAATGAATGTACAAATGCGCTTTACACAATTGATGTGTGTATGGATTGTGCTAAGAGTTGTATGAGCCCCTAATAAAATGATTAAAAAAAGAGAATTGCTTGAGAAAGTGTACACTGAATATATTGAAATATATTGAATTTGTTGACTGATGAGTAATTCAAATTTTGTAAAGTTTGTACTTTATATTCTAATTTCTTAGAAATTGTAGCATTTTGCACTAAATAAAACTATATAGTAATCATCTTCCTGTGCTAAACTGTGACAGACTTATCTTTATCCAAAGTGAATAGTTACTGTTGTATGTTAACCTTAGATCTATTTTCAAGTGATTGTGGAATTACTAACTTCTGATTAAATGCAATATCTGTTGTGCTTAATTTTTCAGTAATAATTGAATCTATGACCTGCGTACCTCCAGTTAATGAGGACACTGTAATTTTTAATAGCGATCGACAAGCAGCAGGAAAGGTTTGTAAAAGAAAACTCAAATTCTTGAATGCTTGAACATCCTGTGCAACTGGAATTGCAAACCAATAGGCTTTGGGGTTGGTTTTGCTCACAACAATTATCCATAGTAAGATTTTAGAAAGAAAGAAAATATGTATATGATGTAGAGAGGCTGGAAGGGAGCTCAAAGTTAAAAGTAGGCAAAATATAGAAAATTACTCTGTTTCTTTGTTGATTTGGCTTTATAATTTTCTTAAGTTTGAATAGGAGTATAAAGCTGAGTGTTGATCTCACTTCTTTTGATTTAAAGGAAGAACTACTGCTTATGTGGTACAAACTATTACCAATGACTTCTCAAGACGTTAGTAGTACATTACTACTAAGGCCATTTGATCTAGTCCTTTAGGAGAAACCACTTTTCTGCCCAATGGAATTGCAAAATATTTGCTGCCCTCAAAGGGAGGAAAATTGCTTTGTTACAAAAAATTTAATCTGAATTTTCTATGGAATGTTTCAGCATCAACCACAGTATGACAAACTGATAAATGAGGAATTGATGCATCTCATTTACAGTTTTAGCTTTCTTGTTTGATTCCAGTAATGATTCATACCTCTTAAACCATGAATGACATTCCATTGCTGATGTTTAGTTTTTTAGCATGAGGGGTGCTGGTGCCATAATGGGTTGGTTACTATGTGGACGTGCTAACTGCAAGACCAGCAGTTTGATAACACTGTTTGCTTCATAGGAGTAAATTGAGACTTTCTGCACTCTAAAGGTTTACAGCCTGGGAAATGCAAAGGACCCAGTGTCTTTTGTCTAATAGGGTAGCTCCTGTTTGAAATTGATTTGATAGCAGTGAGTTGGTTGTTGTTCTTTTGAGTTCTTTAATATTAGATGATTTTGAAAAAATTACCCTATTTCCCCTGTACAGTTATCTTCCCTCATATATTATGAATTAAGTGTGTTGGCTGTTTATACCTCAGGGCATTAATTAGAGCGAGTTCTGTTTTTATTGTTGCTGCTTTTGCTTTTTAGCAAACAGCAAAAATAATGTCCCTTGTCAAATATCACTGGGTAAGAAATGTTCATTCACTAATCCTTTTTTTAAAAGTTTTATCACATCTTGATGGGTAAGCCGTGATAACTATAAAAGTCACCAAGCTATGTAGCCTACATAGGAAGATAGAAATAACTTGTTTGGCCTACAATTTTATTAATGAAGGGAAAACATAAGTAAATTTAAATTATACTTTTGTTAAACAATTCTGAATGCCACTCAACTTTTCTTGTTACATAAACTTTAGCAAGTTAATAAAGAACTTTTATATTGGAACTATTTTTCAAAGTTAAAAATCGATTTGTCCTGTTAGGAAACAAGTCCCTGGGAAACACCCTATTATGTACCAAGTCACAAACAGTGATTCTTTTACCTTGCATTAACGGATCCACAGGAAACTGTAAAATAGCTTTTCCATTTCTGTTTAAACTTATTAAGGGAGCTACAAGAATTAGGAAATTTTTTTAGACCTTTTTTTAAGGGAATGTAGAGACAACATATGCTGGAGGAACAAAACTCCTCATCTTGGACCAATACATAACATCCTGATAAATGGAGAAAAGGATTTCATTTTACAATCCCGTAACTAACAGTCAAGAAATCTCACAATTAGGGCATTAGGCAGGTCTGCTGCAATTTTAAGTGATTAAAGCCAGAGACGTTTCTTTTAAGGTCTAAGGTGCCTTGTGTGGTGGTTGAAGTTATGTGTCACCTTGACGGGGCCATGAGTCTCAGTTGCTTGGCAATCGGATCTCATGGTATCTGATATAATTTAATGATTTCCGTAATGAGATCTATTCTCAGCTAGTCAATTGAAAGGAAGTGTCGTTGGTGGGTAAGGATCTGGATTTTGTATCTAACTTGTCATCTGGACTCTAGTTATTTGACCTTGAGCCAATGGCCTCCTGTATGGCCTGCCAATCCTGGTAGTAACTGCCCTCCATACCACATGAAACAGTAGGCTGTTCTCTTACCTGCTGACCTTGTGTTAATTTGCCACCATAGCCAGCAGCCTGCCATCTGATCGGCCAGTCTTGGGTTTCTCAGCCTCTATAGTTGTGTGAATTAGGAGAAGGATCCAATCTGACTTCAGATTTAGAATTTGCAGATCTCTACAGCTACACAAGCCATTGTCTGTAGATCAGTCTCCCTGTATATATGAGGGTTACCCCCCAAAATAAAACAAAACATTTTTTTTCAAAGCTATGTATTTAAACTCCAAATCCTCCTCACATCAAAAAAGCAAATGAACATCATCTTGATCTTTGATTTCACAAGACGACGTTTTTTTTGATGAGGTGTCAATGGTGTCTTCCACTGGCTTGATTGATGTTTGCTCTGGGGATCGTAAGAATAGCACCGTGTCTCATCATCTGGGTTGTTTCAGGGCTCTTCTTTTTCAAGGCATGGTGGTTCTACTCAACTCTCTTTCCTGATCAGTCAGAACCCGAGGCACAAATTTAGCAATGGCCCTTCCCATTCCCAAACCTTCCATTAAAATTTGCTGCTCTGAGCTGTACAGATAACTTCCCCATCTCTTCAGTAGTCCTTAGTTGGTCTTAGAGTACAAGCACGCAAATTTTGTCAAGATTTTTGTCTGTTTAGGAAATTGACGGACATCCAGGATGAGGTTTGTCATCACTCGAAATTACACCTTTTTTGAAACGAGAAAACCACTCTTATACATGAGTTTTTCCCTTAGCGCTGTCCTGTAAGCTGTGTTCAACATCACAAGTTTCTGCAGCATTTTTCCCAAGCAGAAAACAAAACTGTACCTCCACACGTTGTCTTAAATCAGCCATCATAAAATACGAGGTTCGAATGAAACTTTCATTAAAAATTCACTGTGACCAGAGAAAACCTTCTCAAGGCACGCCACTGGGTGCACTAACTCAGAGCAAGTTGTTTATTGCTCGCCTAGCGGGAAAGATGCATACTATGATAGCTGGGCCCAGTGGAGCTTTTTTCCAATATACACATGTATAACCTTCATTGGTTTTGCTTTAGAGAACCGATTCTAAGATATAGTTGCATTTTCAATTACCTCATGCTTTCAAAAGCTGGATAATAAGTACAACAAAGAACAATTGCTACCTCTGGATTATGATGTTGATGAGGAAGATGGACTGCCAGAAGAGCACATGGGTCTCTTAAATGTACTACAGCCCAAGTGTTCCCAGACTCAAAGATGGCCAGACTGTAAGGTACGTTGTATGTGTTACAGGTGAGACCAGTCCTGGAGAAAAGGCCCTCATGCTTGGTAAAGCTAGAAAGTCATTGAAATGGAGCAGTTCGGGGGAAATACGTGTGGATGAAGTCTCTGGTGAATCCCCTCTGACTAGAGCAGGGATGTGAATAGCCTTCTGTCATGCATTGGGAAGTAGATTATTGCTGATAGAGTTTGGTTAAAATTTAACACTTTATCATTTGTTTTCCCTTTTGACCTATTTTTTTTTTTCTATTGAGGTCTGTTTTTTATTTTGTTGTTGCAATTTTTGTTTGTTTTTCTTTATCTAAAATCCAGGGTAGGTAAATCTGTAGAGGCAGTAACTGGATTAATGGTATTTTAGGGGTATGGCAGGAGAGGTTTGGTAGAAATGGGGAGCTATCAGAACATGTTCTAAAATTGATTTTGGTGATTATTATACAATTCTTTTTAAAATGTTTGAATTACTGAATTGTATAAAATGTGAATTATGTGTCAATAAGACATTTACTAAAGAAAACAGAGAACACCTAATGTCACTGGGGAGAGCAGACAGTCAATTGCCTGAACATAAAGGATGGCAGTTTGCACCCCCTGAGTCTTAGCCCATGGCCTGGCAGTCTGTTTGTGAAAGGGATAGCCTTGATGTAGTGCGGTTGACTGTGCGCCTGGGGCTACTTACCGTGACAACGCAGACTGGAGGCAGCTGGTTGGTGTCAACAAATTATTATTATTATTATTATTATTTTTTATAACATTTTATTAGGGGCTCATACAACTGTTATCCCAATCCATACACACATCAATTGTGTAAAGCGCATTTGTACATCATTCTCAAAACATTTTCCCTCCACTTAAACCCCCGACATTAGGTCCTCATTTTTCCCCTCCCGCATGAGCCCTTGATAGTTTATAAATGGGTATTTGGTCATATCTTGCCCTGTCCGACGTCTCCCTTCATCCACTTTTTGGTTGTCTGTCCCCCAGGGAGGAGGTCACACACAGTTCCATGTAATCGGTTCCCTCTTCCCTACCCGTTCTCCCTTTACCCTCCCTGTTTTGCCACTCACACCACTGGTCCTATAGGGCTCATCCGTCCTGGATTCCCTGTATTTTCAGTTCCTATCTGTACCAGTGTACCTCCTCTGGTATAGCCAGTCTTGCAAGATAGAATTCGAGTCATGGTAGTGGTAGCGGGGGGTGTCAACAAATTATTATCACATGTAACGTAGGCTGATCAGAGTGATGATGCCATCTATCGCTTTCACAGTTGCAATTCCAGCTGGACAAGGTCTTCCCTTTTTATCTCAATTATTCCAATGCTTCTCATTATTTTGTTAATTTGTTTTGCACTTATAGTAAAAATGTACTCATTATCCTTGCAATTAATGTTATTTCAGAACACATTGACATTAACGTTTTCATGTCACTAATATTTTCAGAGAAATCATACTTTAAGAATGATGTTTCCCTGATGAGTGAGCTGGTTTAGCAGTATTGGAAACTAATGGAAGTCGGGAAAGCTTGAATGCTAGACTAAATATGACAAAATGGAGAGCAAAATAGGCAGTTTCATTGTGATAGGTGTACATTGTTCTTAAGTTATTTGAAAACTTCATTTAGTAATTTAGATCAAGAACTTGTCATATTTACGATTTACTGTAATTTTACTTCTTATTAATAAATTTTTATGACTTCTGAAGTATAAAGCAGAGACTTACATATAAAACATATAAATAGGTTTTAGCGTGCATCATTTATTGTATTGAAGATTTTGGAAGCTGCCCAAACACCCTGTATTACAGGACATTAAATTGTAAGTTGTGCTATGTCCACAAGAGGACCGTGACGGAGCAGTGGGTTAAGCATTTATTTGCCTGCTAGCTGCAAGTAGTTCAGATCCATAAGAGTAAGATCAGTCAGTCTGCTTATTTAAAGATTTACTGCCCAGAAACCCTGTGGAGCAGTTCTATCCTGTCCTATAGAATCAATCTGGGTCAGGAGCAACCTGACAAAAATAAGTTTTGGTTTTATATCCATAAAAGAGTGATATTTAGCTACTTAAGTTATTCTTAGGAGCTCTCTTGACACAATGGGTACACATTCGACCACTAACTGAAAGGCTGTTGGTTGAACCTATCAAGCGGCTTTAAGAAGAGACATGTTGATACACATTCCATGAGGAGTTCAGCCGAGGAATGCCTCTGGAGATCACTGGTTCAGAATCAGTTTGGCACACAGCAGTAATACCATCAAAATATTTGAACCTGGCAAAGAACAAAGTTGTTATGGGCTGCTTTAAATTCACAGAAGAAAATCTGAAGTAAACAAATAGATTTGTAATTAGAACATTAAGACTCTTTGAGAGTACAAAAAGGATAGCTACACAAATTCATTGCTCTTTGACATCGACACAATTGCCTTGTTTCAGCAGTAATGAGCAATTTTTAAAGAGAGAATATTGTCGATGTTTTATTTGGCATGTTTAAATGGCCTTTGTGTTTGTTGTATTTTACAGATATTTGAGATATTTGGCCGTGTTACACATCCGTTTTATATGTTGCGGTATAATTCTGCAGATCAAATCAACAGTAAAGGTATTAAAATAAAGGACACTCTGTATTTTGCTCCATCAATGAAAGACTTCACCCAGTACATATTCACAGAAAAACTAAAACAGTAAGTTTATTATTATCTTACTTTGATGGTTCTTTAATGCTCTAATTTCTGTATTTTAATAATTCTCAGTGATGGTATCCTTCTTAAATTTGAATTGTGTCTGTCTTCCAAGATGTTTATCTTCATAATAACATTTTGCTGAAAGCAGCATTTTATCGTCACAATTCACAGTAGTCTTCATTTAAATCTCAGTCTCAGAAACCCACAGGAGCAGTTCTCTATCCTATAGTGTTGCTATGAGTATTGCATTCTAATTCTCCCAAACTTGGAAATGCGAGTGATGCCTAGTGGGTTTATTGTCTTCTGGTCAGTGAGTGCTTTTAGTGCTGGGTCAGAAGTACTGGTCCCAATTGCATGTTGTAAGAAGGTCTCTGATCACAAGTGTCTGATTTCCATTTGTTATTTCATAGATGAAAGTTTTGATCCTGAATACTGGTTAAATTCATGTTTAAGAATCCTTGTCTAAAATTAAAAAAATCCTTGTCTATCTGAAGGAATGTTTTGCCTACATTCTTCTTGTGAGGCTATGTAAGGCTAATTTCCTTAAATAATTGCTAACAGGTTAATCAAATAAATGTAAAAACATAAAGTCAAAGATTGTCATGTTCATTGCTTTGCATATTAGGATACTATTGTCAGTATGCCATATACTAAAGGTATTTACTAAATAGATTTTAGCTAATAGGAAAAGGAAAATAAAAACAAAGAGCTGAGGAGTTAAGTTTGCTTTTTCAGAAACCCCACCAGACAAAGAGTACTACCCTTTTAAATTAGATTTTGGGGTCTTATGGATGCTGGATGGGGTGCGTGGATGCCGGCGAACATTTAAGCCTGTGAAATAGAGAAGGAGGTCAGCTCTTCTCCAGCCCAACAGTCTAGGTAGGCCATGTTGATCTTAGCCTTGCAGATGCTTTCTGTCTTCTCAGTTATTGTACAAATACGAACTGAACCTAATGTGAGTGGATTCGGATTTCCTGTGCTGTGGTTGAGAGACTTCTCGATGACATCTTTAAATGTCATACTGAGAGATAACATGCTTGTATTTGCAGAGTGGGTTACGAGAGTTATTTTAAATGAACAGATGAGAATAATGAGTAAATAAATGTCCTTAGGTTCTGAGAATTCCATTTATTTTTAAGATGTTTTTAAAGGAGTGAGAATTACATGTAGTCCTAATTTTGTGATATAGTAAGTCATTGAACTGTAGGATACTGTCTAAAGGAACCTGTGAAACCATAGGATTAAAAATGAGCTTTTCAGAAACTGTAATTATATTCGTCATGCATGTTCTTTTTTCTTGTGAAGCTTCCAACCCAAACAAATTATTTTTAGGTATATTTATTCATTTGCGATTCTCCCTCAGGATTTTCAAGGCTCCTCCTTCCTAAACTAAATAGTCTTGATTTTCCTTCTCTGATGTGAAAATCTCACTGTTGGAATAACTCTGGTTACTTGTGGAAGATTTTTGGTATTCCGTACCGTATACTTAATTTTCATAGTACATATTAGGGGACTTCAAAAGGTCATGGAAAAAAATCCATTATGTTTTAAATCCCATTTTCCCATGAACTTTTTGAGGCTACCTTGTATAAAAGAATTTCCAGATTATGTTTAGTTTTCTTTTAAATATGTTTGTTTCTGCCATTTAAACGTGTTAAATCTCAGACAGAGGAATGCCTCATACTCACTTTATATGTTTAGCACATTGAACAGTGCCTGACCCATTGTAGGTGTTAAAAGCATTTGTTGAACTGCGCTTGGGGTATCATGAGAGTAAAAAAATCAGTCTTAATATTTAAAAATGTTTGTAAACTGCAAAACTACATTTTCCCACCTGTTTTATATATGTATCAAACATATATAGTAAAATTGAAGGTTGAGCTCATGTCTTCTACTTTTCCTTATTGCTTAGTTAAACGTGTTTAGTACAACTAATGAATGTTTCTTTGACTTTCCCCCCTCCCCCCAGGGAAAAGGGATCAGATGCATCATGGAAAAATGACCAGGAACCTCCACTGGAAGTAAATATGACTTTTTACACAACACTTTTGAAAGTAGGGTGGGGCTTAATATTATACATTTACCATTGTTGATCTCAGGGCAGCCCTCAAGCTGCTTGGCAGTTACACTTCTCCCTGCTCATCCGTGTACTTCTTTGCTCTCACAGATAGCGCTTTATACATCACAGTAAATGTTTTTTGACTGGTCCTTTCAGGAAAAAAAAAAAAAAGTATCTCAGTATATTTTAATAATTTTGTAACTTTCTATTTTTAGTAATTTGTTGATGCACGGTTAAATGATACATCATTGAAAAACCACTAGTTAGTTTCGTGAAGTCTTCGTATGGAACAGAAACGTTTATTATGGTCCTTATACTAATCAGACTTTCTTTTGGAGGTACAAAGTGTCAGAATCTACCCACTTTTCAATTTTTTATAGATAAGTTGTGCTTTTTCCTTTTCTTCTGTTTCAGCAAAACAGTTTTATACCCCCAAATTGACTTGATATGCCTAATTATTTAGAGATGTGCAATAAATTATCAAGTATAATGTCTAATATCTTCCACCACATCAAACTATTTCAGCAATACTCAAAGATTTTAGTGACCTTTTTTAAAGAAAATGATTTGACAGGCACTCCTTTCTAGTGTACCTTAGTTTGGAATCTCTGCAAAAACCATGGGTGATGCTGCTGGTATTGAAATACCAGTAGCAAAGCATCTAGCATCCCAGAAAGCTGCAAACCACCAAAGTATGACAAAGTGACAGGTATGATAAGCAGTGATACTTCCAGTAAATTATTCCCCACACCCCACTCCACCCCAGAAAGGAAAAAAAGACCTCACCTCTCTGCCATTGGGTTTATTCCAAATATGAGGCTGCAAGTTTTTATGGGAGCATGTATGGTTATCTTTTTTTCCCGTGGATTGGGTTGATTAGAGAAACAAATCCAGCGACACTCTTGTATGTGAGAGAGCGAGCTTTATATCAAAGAGTAATTGTATATTGAGAAAACACCCCAGCCCAGTCCAGTTCAAGTCCTTAAGTCCAATATTTGCCCATAAGTCCAATACGAATCTGTAAATTCCTCTTCAGACGCACACAACACATGCAGTGATGCCGTATATGGGAAGAGCTCCAGTTCATGGGTGGAAAGTCAGGTGGATCCAATGGCATTAATAAGACCAGAGAAACAAATCTATAGACACTCCTGTATGTGTATAAGAGAGCACTTTATATCAAGAAATAATTATGCATCCATAAAACATCCCATCCCAGACCTGATCAAGTCCATAAGTTCAATGATTGAACTAGCCCATAAGTCTGGTATTAGCCGATGAATTCCTCAGACTCAGGCAGCACATACAAAGATGCTGAATGCCAGATGATCACAGGCCGGTGGCTGGAAAGTCCTGTGGCTCCAATGGCAGTGGATGCATCTCCAGGGCCATGGCTGCCATCAGCATGGCTCCATGTGGCTTGTCAACTGGAATGTGAAGCAGAGAGCGTGTGTGGTCCTCTTCCCAGTAGAAAAAGAGGAAGTTCCCAGAATCATCCTGGTGGTTGTTCCCTTGTGACCTGATTGACAGGCTAGACCCCATCCCGTTGCTCAAGTTGACAGTGTCACAGGTCACTCCTTGTCAATTTAGTACTTCATATACCTCGTTAGCCTTATATAATTCTTAAACAAAATAATAAATCATATCTCCACCCAGCAGGATAAAATGCATGCAATTCAATATATGCCAGCCTTATTAAAACAATGATCTATAAGTGAACAAAATAACAATATTCTATGCGTAACAATTGTACTTAAGTGAATACCTGCACCCTAATCCTATAATCCTATGAGCATGTTCTTCCACCTATGAAAGTTTATAAGCCAGCCACTTCATGACTTTATCCTCCCAACTTTGGGAATCCAATTTCTATGTCCCCACTTACATCAACCAGGGCTGTGAGGAGACAATCATATTCTTTTAAGTGAAGAATCCTCATTCCAGTTGGAACCTTGTAAGTCCGTGTCCATTAACAAAGCAAATGAGGACAGGCTACTCATAAAGTCAGCAGCAATATACATCAGTTCACAGGCTCAAAAATCTTCATCTGGTCCGGTTCTGGTCAACTCAGTGTGGGCCACCTTGCCTTAGCCTCACCAGAGTGTCCATTGGTGGTTGCCTTACCTTTAGAGCATGGGCAGCAGCTTTACAAATTCTCAACCTTGGGCTAGGTCCTGAACTTCAGACCAGCCAACCTACTTTCATCTTCTTTAGTCCCTGTGAACCAGGTCAGTGGATGTCAGTGGCCCGACTCCACCTGTGTATATTGCTGCATTTCTCCTACTTCCACTAGACAGGTGGATCCAGGTGGTCACCTCGCAAGCATTTTAGGCTGCACTCAGGCTCCCTTTAATGTGCAGTCCTAGAGAGGAGTGTTTCTTCATGGCTCCAAATTTTTTCCAACTTCTAGCACAAATCGCTAGTTCAGAATTCAAAAAAAGAAAAGCCAGAGTGCCTTTCCTTGCAGTCTGTCAACAGCCCCCTAGGCAAGTCTCTGAGGCAAATGTCTTGAGTACTCCAAAGCACTGCTTGGGGCTTAGCTTTTCAGAGCCTTCTTTGAAAGTGTGTCCTACACCAAGTTTAAGATTCAAATTGGTGGCTGAAACAGTGAGCTTACGAACTCTATATTTCCCAATAATTGTTCTATCAATCATATCAATAACAATAGGCAGAAGAAAATAGTATAAACCTAGTACAGCCAGATCCTAAACTCAGTTCATAAAATAGTCAAGTTCAATCCTTATTTTTAATATTATTTTAGTCCTTATCTAAACTATTGCTTTGATAGGAAATATGGCCTTAGACATCACCCCAGGCCCCTCTGTCAGTCCTTTTGTCTGCTGTTTTCATTAAGTAGCATGGTCTCTGGGGAAAAGTTCAAGTGGTGATTTCACCCCTTGAGCTCAAATTATACATTAATTACATTCATTTTCGCCATTTCAAACAGGAATAACTAAAGACAACAACCAAACAAAATAATCAAAACTCTTAACTTCCCGTTTTCTTTCCAGAAAATACCTCGGTAAACTACACAGTCACATCTGACCTCTGACTAGCCAATGAAGGAAAACTACCACGAGGCAGCGGTCAAACAAGCATCCCGTCTCTATCTTTATGATTTGTTTCTCTAGTACCCCACTCCCAATGTATCGTAATGTATTAGACTGGGTTGCCTAAGGAAACAAATCCAGAGACACTTGAAAATGTGTGAGAGAGAGCTTTGTATCAAAGAGTAATTGTATATTAAGAAAATAATCCTAGCCTAGTCCAGTTCAAGTCCAAAGTCCAATATTAGCCCATATGTCCAAGATGAGTCTGTACATTCTTCTTCAGACTCACACAGTGCATGCAATGATGCTGAATGGAAGAAGATTATAGGCTAGTGGCTGAAAAGTCCTGCCGATCCAGTGGCAGTGGATGCATCTCCTGGGCTCTGGCTGCCATCAGCATGGCTTCATGTGGCTTGTCTACAGGAATGTGGACAAGTGTGGTGGTCCTCTTCCCAGGAGTAAAAGGAAGCTCCCAGAATCCTGTTGGTTCTTTGTGACCTCATTGCCAGGCTAGACTCCACCCCTTTACTCAAGTTAGCAGATTATGTAGCTGCCACAGAACTGCTGGTGGGTTTGAGTGGCTGGCCTTAGTGGTCCAGCACTTATTCAACAGTACTACCAGGGCCTCTTTCTTTGATGTGAATTTTTCCACTTGTCATTTAACCTGATTGATTTTCTGTTGGAAGTTGGTTTGTATTTTTATTTGATTTTTTTATCAAAAGCAAAAAACCAAACGTGATGGTTGAGTCTATTCTGACACTAGCCTACAGGCAGCATTAAACTGACCCACTAGATTTCCCAGGCTCCAAAACAGGGATAGGAAACATTTTTACTGCCACAGACCATTTGGATGTTTACAATGAGACCATTCACAGGCCATTCTGGCCAAACAATGCACCTCTAGGGTCATGACTGGAACTGTTTTTCCTTGGTAAGACTTGTGTTGTTAGCTGTTATTGATGATTTCCTGGGTCTTACACAACCCGTGAGTTGGACTTTGCCCACCTCTGCTTTATGGAAGCAGACCATATTTTTTTCACAGTAGAGTGATTGATGGTTCAAACTGCCAACCCTTCTTCTGACTCTTAATTGTTATACTCCCAGGGTTCCTCTTTTCCTACAGTCCTACTGAAATAACGTTCCTAATAATGTTTACCGCAGTTCTTGATAATGAATTATGTATAAATTTTTAAATGAATGAAACGTGGAGGATTTTTATATTAGATCTGATGATGTTACTTGCTTACTCCTTCATATATAGGGTGTAAAAACTTTTTCCCGTTGACATCCTGTAGCTGAAGGCCCTGTGTAGTTAGTCTGAGTCTAAAGTGGGAGGCATACTTCTAGCCAGCGAATATCAGATTTGAACTTTGTAAAGAATAACATGCTAAAGATACCTGTCTGAAACTTTGTAGACATGCAGAAAATAATTGGACATCTAATCTTGATTACTGGCTTTTAATAATTGGGAGTCTTTTGTCAAAAGACGTACATTGTTATTATCATCTTTTAAAATCATTTTATTTGGGGCTCGTACACGCTTATCACAATCCATACAACCATCCATTGTATCAAGCACATCTGTACATTTGTTGCCATCATCATTCTCAAAACATTTGCTTTCTACTTGAGCCCTTGGTATCAGCTTCTCATTTTTCCTGGTCCTCCCTGCCCCTCTCCCTCACGAATCATAGATAATTTATAAATTGTTGTTATTTTGCCATGTCTTATACTGTCTGTAGTCACCCTTCACCCACTTTTCTGTTGTCCCCCAGGGAGAGGGTTATATGTAGATCCTTGTAATCTGTTCCCCCTTTCTACCCCACTTTCCCTACACCTTCCCAGTATCGCCACTCATACCACTGGTTCTGAGGGGTTCATCTGTCCTGCATTCCCTGTGCTTCCAGTTCCTGTCTGTACCAGTGTGCATCCTCTGGTCTAGCTGGATTTGTAAGGTAGAATTGGGATTATGATAGTGGCGGGTGGGGTGGTGGGGTGGTGGACAGGCATTTAAGACCTAGAGGAAAGTTGTATGTCTCATCGTTGCTATACTCTACCCTGACTGGCACGTTTCCTCTCTGTGACCCTTCTGTAAGGGGATGTCCAGTTGCCTGCAGATGGGCTTTGGGTCCCCAATCTGCACTCCCCCTCATTCACAATAGTATGATTTTTTGTTCTTTGATACCTGATCCCATTGACACCTCATGATCACACAGGCTGGTGTGCTTTGTGGGCTTTGTTACTTCTCAGTTAGATGGCCGCTTGTTTATCTTCAAGCCTTTAAGACCCCAGATGCTTGCTATATCTTTTGATAGCCGGCCACCATCAGCTTTCTTCACCACATTTGCTTATGCACCCACTTTGTCTTCAGAAATCGTGTTGGGAAGGTGAGATCATGGATGGCAGCTTAATAGAACAAAGTATTCTTGCATTGAGGGAGTAAAAAGTACATTATTTACTTAACCATATTCAGACATTGCTGTTAGCATTAAAAAGAACTTTGTCTTCAAGGTCAGTGGTTTATAATTAGTTTTCTCTGTACATCCCCTTGACTTGGGAAATCATTAACATAAACCTGTATCTTTCTGTACAAGGCCTTGGATTTCAGTGATGATGAAAAAGAAACAGAAGCCAAACAGAGGAAAAAATCTCAGATTCAAAACCGGAAGAAACTTAAATCTGAATTTAATGAACCAGGTGAGTAATGCAATGTGACATAGTTTACTGTGAACACTATCATTTCACATTTTATCACTGCAGTAAACATCAGTGGAAGTGGACTTAACTGGTCTCCTCTAGCCCCTTGATTGCCAGGAGACAAGAGCTCCGTACTTTATTCTTTGTTACCTATTCTGACACTAACCGTTAATTCTACACTACTCTACATGTATTCTGGATTCAGTCATTCATTATAGTGGACACACACAACTCAGCTAATACTCACAATGAAAGGGCTTACTAGGGAAGTCAGTGGGTTAATACAAGTCAGAATCAGCAAACAGGATATATTCATTGGTGTCCTCAGTCAGCAGTCAAGCCTCTGGTTCTTAAGCCACAGCCATGTGATCTCTTGGCCTTTGCCTCCATGGACTGGGGCATCAGCCCATCTGTCACTGTCCCACAGTTCCAAGTCATGGCCCAGATGAGAATGTATCCCAAAGTCTCTTTACGGCTCCTCCTACATTTCCATGCTACAGTCTCTGATGCTTCTGGTCTTGGTGGCCTCTGCCACTTCAGACAGATCTTAAATGTGCTTTCCCAGGGTCCTGTGGCTTTCTCTCTTTGCTAAAGCTTCGGAGATGACTCATCTTTATCACCAGGGCGGTGTCCCTTTTCAGTGATTAGTCTCTCCCGATGGTATCCAAAGTGAGCAAGACCGAGCCTCTCCCATATTAACGTAAGTTGCGTACTTGTATTCTAATATTGATTTAGTTCATTTTTCTGGAAGTCATAGTGTATTAATCTTTGCGTACTCCATTGGTCAAATATATGGTTTCTTTTGTGTCTTTTGTCAGGTTTCCTGTATGCCTTTGAGGCAGTTGAGAAGATCAGTTTGCATCAGGTGCACCTTAGTCATCAGTGCTGTCTTTGCTTTGTAGAACGTCAGAGTGCTCGGTTTTGTCACAAATCTGCCCCGTACAGTATGACATTTGATTTCTTGATTGCTGCTTTCTTGAGCGCATCTACCTTTGATCAAACTAGAATGACATTTTTTATCGTGCTAAACAACACTGTAGGTCCATAGCTGACCTCCTCTGGTTTCTCTGAGGCTGTGATGCCTCCATGTTCTGTCCTTCATTACCTGTTCTGATCCCAGCCGTTTCTGCAATGCCACTCAACTGTGTTGATGCTAAGTTTCACAATTTGTTGCCATGAGCACATAGAACTCACAGACACTACTCAAAATTAAGGGGGTTTACGAGGGAAGTCGATAAAAACAAAAATCAAGCTGATGCCAACTTGTAGCGACCCTGTAGAACAAGGTAGAACTCCTGTGAGTTTCTAAGGTTGGAACTCTATGGGAGGAAGAAGCCCCGTCTTTCTCCCATAGAGAAGCTGTTGGTTTCAAGCTGCTGGCCTTGTGGCTTACAGCCCAACATGGAACCACTATACCACTGGGCTCCTTAAGGGAGTCAGTAATTCAGGATCAGCACACAGTAAGGATACAGCCGCCTCAGCCACCAGCAAAACCCCTCTGGGCCTCAGACTCAGTCCTTGGTCCCTTGGTCTTTGCCTTTAAAGGCCAGGAAGCCAGTCCACCTGCTGTTCTGCCCCACAGTCTCATAGTCTTTGACCAGATGAGAAGAGGGTGCCCATAGCCTGCCACTTCAGACAGATATCTTGAATGTGCTCTTCCAAGGGGCTCAGAGTTTCTATTTGCTGCTGCTGCTGCTGCTTCCAAGATGGCTAATCCTTATCAGTAGGTGGGGGGTGGTAACAAAAATTGTCCAATCCTCTTGTGTTACGGTCTATGTGCTCTATAGCCACCCAATCACTCGTTGGAAGTTAGAGGCTTAGGTAAAAGAACCCTGTTAAGAAATTGCACTTGATGACATTGGCCACTCTAGTTTTTTGCCCATTGATGCGTAGCTGTGTTCGTCAGTCCATTTGTGAGGACTGAGTTTTGTTTTGTTTTTTTAATCATTTTATTAGGGGCTCATACAACTCTTTTCACAATCCATACACACATCAATTGTGGAAAGCGCATTTGTACATTCATTGCCCTCATCATTCTCAAAACATTTCCTCTCCACTTAAGCCCCCGGCATTAGGTCCTCATTTTTCCCCTCCCTCCCCGCTTGTCCCTCCCTCATGAGCCCTTGATAACTTATAAATTGTTATTTTGAGGGAACCGAATATAAGGATCTATATGTGACCGCCTCCCTGGGGGACGGACAACCGAAAAGTGGGTGGAGGGAGACGTCGGACAGGGCAGGGTAGGACTGAGTTTTATGGTCAGGTGTAGTTCATAGTCATGGCCTTACCTTCGTCAGTGTGCGCTCAGTCATCTTTATGTTGGACCAGCAAAGTTACGTCGTGTGCGTGTCTTCCTCTTTCCACATGCTTCTCATGTGGCATGAGCTCAGATGATTTGTTTAGCATACAAACGGAGTAAAATGGTAAAGGGATATAACTAATGCACAGCCATTATTTCGAGTATTTCTTCTTCTGACTTTTTTAAACATTTTATTAGGGGCTCATACAACTGTTAACACAATCCATACACACATCAATTGTGTAAAGCGCATTTGTACATCATTCTCAAAACATTTTCTCCATTAGGTCCTCATTTTTCCCCTCCCTGCCCACTCCCCCCTCCCTCATGAGCCCTTGATAGTTTATAAATTGGTATTTTGTCATATCTGGCCTTGTCCGACGTCTCCCTTCACCCACTTTTCGGTTGTCTGTCCCCTAGGGTGGAGGTCACATATAATTCCTTGTAGTCGGTTCCCTCTTTCCTACCCACTCTCCCTTTACGCTCCCTGTATCGCCACTCACACCACTAGTCCTGTAGGGATCATCCGCCCTGGATTCCCTGTATTTTCAGTTCCTATCTGTGCCAGTGTACATCCTCTGATCTAGCCAGACTTGCAAGGTTGAATTCGAGTCATGGTAGTGGGAGCGGGGAGGAAACATTTAGGAACTAGAGGAAAGTTGTATTTTTCATCGTAAAAATAGTGTTTTTGAGCTATAATTAACCTATCAAAAAGGGTTGTGCAACCATCCCCACAATCAACTTTAGGCCTTTTTTCCCTCCTGTACTGATTGGTGTCACTCCCTATTTTTTTCCACCCTCTCCTTCCATGCCCCAAGGCATCATTAATCCAAGTGCTGCTGTCTTTATTGCAGAATGCTGGCTTCCTTAGACTGAAAAACATCCAAAACAAGGACGACCAGCAACAGTGACCATATAAAACAGACCTCAATCTAAGAGAAAGTAGATAATATTAAAAACTTGGAATCAATTTAAAACAGGTCCAAAGGGAGATCTAATGACAAGGTGTCCCATGCCAGCTTAAGCACCACTGCTAAAATCCACTTTACAATGCTCTTTAATCTCACCTTAGGAACTGTTCACATCCCTGTTCTATGGACAGTTGGGACTCAGTCCACACAGGGACACTGCATATGGATTTTGAGCTTCCACTATCCATAGCATTCCATAAAACTGGATGTTTAGAATTTAGATAGTAGTACCATTCCCTCCTACAGGTTTACATCTCACAGGCTGAGGTGCTTCTGTGTGGACTTAGCTGACTCCTTAGATGGCTGATTGTTTTGAGACGAGTTAAGACCTGGTTGCATAGTGGTTACATGTGCTAATTGCGAAGTCAGCAGTTCAGAACCACCAACCACTCTGAGAGAAAGGGCTTTCCACTCCCAGAAAGAAGTACAGTCTTGTGAAATAGGAGGCAGTTCTACCCTGTCTTACAGGGTTGCTGTGAGTTGACAATAAGTTCACTTGGGAGTTGGATTTAAGACCCCAGACATTACTTTTCCTGATATCTGGGCACCATCAGATTTCTTCACCAGTTTGATAGGGCCATATATCTTCATTGAACTCATGTTGGGTGAGTTTGGACAAGGCATGTCAAAAGAACTAATTGTTATATTAGGCTGTGATCCAATGGGAGTGCAACGTCCATTTATATAATTTTAGTTTCTATATGTCCCTTGTTTCACTTTTAGAGACATCACTATCATTTTATTTTACATCATAAATCATCCCCATGGGGCTTAGGGTAATTCTAATAGTAACATATTTTAGTCAATGCTAAAACATTGTTGAACAAAGGAATTGATAACATGAGTTCTTATTAGATTCTAATACCTGAATTCTTAATTTTTAGATATTCAAGTCATGGGAGCCTTAATACTACTTAAGCCACGAGGGGTGGAAGTACGGCACTACTTTCAGTCCCATTCATTTATGAATGCATAACCATGGCTGGTAGACGAACACATGACACACAATGATGGAGTGCATAAAAACAGCAAATATATGAGGGGGTGCCAAAAAAGCTTCAGAATTGCGCTGGGCTGAGGGGAGCTTTTGTAGTATGCATTTTTCCCCCTAGGTGAGTGAGCATCAGACAACTCACTATTGAGTTAGTGCACCCAGGGGCATCGTCTGAGAAGGTTCTCTCTGGTCACAATAATATTTTTGTGGAAGCAGTTTTGCTTGAACTTTGGTTTTTTTGATGGCTGATTTAAGAGAACACTGTGCAGATCTGAAATTTTGTTTCCTGCTCGGAAAAACTGCCACAGAAACTGTTGTGCTATTGAATACAGCTTACAAGGACAGCACTGTAGAAAAAACTCATGTACAAGTGGTTCTCTCATTTCAAAAAAGGTGAAATGTCGATTGATGACAAACCTTGTTCTGGGCATCTGTTACCTTCCCGAACGAACAAAAATGTCAACTTGTAGTGCATTTGGAGTTTGTTCCACCAGGTCAGACTTAATCGAGCTTTCTATTTAGAGGTTCTGAAAAGATAGCGTAAGAGTGTGCTGCAAAATCGACCTGCTCGTGGAGTCATCTCACTGTGTCAGTTTTTGGCAAAAAAGAGCATGCCCCTTACTCCATGCGACTTCTGTTTGTTTCTGTGAAAGGACAGCAATTTGATGACTTAGAAGAGGTGAAGAAAAAACGTTGGATGCTGACATCCATCCAAACAGATGAGTTTGGAAAATGTTTCCAAGA